ACAGCCGCTCTCCCGAAACCGGACCGGCGCTGCGCCCGCCCAAGCCGCGAGCGAGCGTTCCCGCCGCACCGCCCCCCCCACCGGAACCCAGCGTGACGTCACATGGTATGGAATACCGGGCTCCGTTTGGCCAGGTGGGGTCAGCCCCCACCCCCCGGCTGTGCCCCTTCCTGGAGTCCGGTGAAAATTAACCCTGTTCTGGCCAAACCCAGGACAGAGAACAACTCCTTCCACGTCACACAGGAAACAGCTTTCCCCAAATATAAAATCATCCTCCTGAGCACTTCACTTTTCAGTTAAGTTTTTGTTCATTCCTCAGAAGAGAGATACACACTCTTGTTTTCTCTCCACATCACAGTCCTAGAGAAAACTACAGATATGCTTTTCCTGTGTCCAAGATGAACTCACTGCTCAAATATAGCAGAAAAAAGCAGTACTTCTGCCATATACTACAAAAGCTCCTGAAATTTCATCAGATAAAATGAAAACTCAGCCTCAAATAGTATCACTAGTATACTCAAATAACATTATTTATACTCAAATAGTAATCAAATATTTTTAAAAACACTTCCATGTTCTTTGGTTTAGTCCTGCATGTGTTTCCTGGCTGCTCATGCATGACAAATCAAAAGCTGATACTGTCTGCTTTTGGATTCCACCAGGGGAAACTTCCAAAGGGAGCAGGCAGAACTGCCATTTGAAGTTATCCCAGAGTCAATTTACAGCAGCAATATCAGCCTGTGACTGTGCAACACATAAAACATGAAAAGTGTGCTTACACATTCGCAGAACTGCCCTGATTTATCTTGAAAACGGGTATATATCTATGCTGCCAGAAGAACCATTACACACACTACTCATGCAAACCAAAGCTGTGTACTGGAGCATAAATGCCACAGCATGGGAAGGGTGCACAGAGAAGGAGCGGATAACTGCACGCTACAGCATTACCTCTTTTCACTCCTTAGGCCACTCTGAGATGCTCTTTACAGTCCCGTATGTGATGAAAGCAGCACGTAAATTCCACAGGGATAACCAGCTGGTGCACATTTCAGTGTCCACGAAGGTATGACACGCAGGCTCTGCTGCTGCCTCTGCCACTGTCTGGCCTTTGGTTCGTAATCACGAATTTTTAGAAGACAGAAAATCCTCATACTCATTGCCTGTTTAGCAGACAGCTGACAAGGCATCGCTAACAATCTTTCCTTTCTTTCACTCAAAGCACCCGACCTGCAGTAGTTGTTGTGACATTCTGCCTCGTAAACAAACACTGATTATAGAAAACAAAAGTAAAGCTTGGCAGCTCTCCTCTAAGCCCATGTTCTTACACAAGATTAGCTGTCCTTCTGCTGGATCCGCTTTCAGTCTGCCATTCTACAAATGGCAGTTTTGGGCCATTCTCTCACAGCTCTTCTTTAGTGTTGAGCCCAGCTCTGGCCAGAAGTCAGTGCAGACCCTCCCAGTATGGGCACTAACAGCAAGGTTTGTCACGGCAGAACCAAAACGCCTCCACATTGAGGGCATCAGTGACCCTGCTGTTCTTGATATGTCACTATCAGCATGGCAAGGAACGGGCAAATGGAGACTCTGCCCTTGGAACAGACCGTAATCCCGCACCTTGATGCCCGAAAGCAAACCCCAACTTTGGTGGCCATGATGGTACATTCCACAGAATCCCGTTACGTGAAAGAGTCACATAGCAGGATTGGAGTGCTCTCCATTAATTTTAGACAGTATGTCCTTAAATGCTATGGTTTTTCATATTCCTCTTCTCCCAAGCTGTGAAAAGCTGTGTTGGATTCAACACAGTGCACAGCAAATGTGAGCGAGCAGAATCAGAATGAGTGTGCACAGAACGGCACAAGCTGAGGTTACACACATCTTTACCAAGTCTTTCCATTTCAAGTGCTAACGTATTAAGACTCCACCTTCCCAATAAATTTCACAGAATTTCTTCTTCCAAATAACTCTCCACAATCTAAAGGAAAGGGATGAACAATATAATATTTGGCATCTTTTTCTCTGAATCTAATAGGAAACTTTGTGCGCAGACTGGAATCTGCATTTATCTGTGGACTGACCATTCATGTTTGGGTTTGCAGTTCTCTTTTTGCCCCTTACCCAAAGTGCACGCGTGACAAACAAAAAACTCACCAGATGCTTGGAAATACCCCTGAAAATGTAATCTTTTGGAATCTTTTGGAGAGAAAATTCCCATTCATTAAGGTGAATTAACATGGTTCATTCTGAATTCTTAGCATGTACAGATCACGCAGGTGCACACAAAATAATGATCATTAAGAAGCCATGGTTAAGACAACAAGTGTGAAATTATTGCGGCATCAGAATCTGCAAATAGGTGTGTAGTTACTCAAATACACAACGCTAAGTACGATTTAAACTAAAAGTAACTACACTACCAGACTACCAGTAACTTCAGCGTAAGTCAAAATGACCCTTACTTCTTTGTAAGGTCATTCTCGTTATCAGAAAAGCCCCGGCCAGCTCCGCCCGTTACCTGCCGAGGGGTCCTCTCGGACTTGCTCCGGCTCCACTCCCAGC